TCTGCTGGCAATGGCAGCGACATCCCCCGACCGCGGCTTCTGCTCTCCCGCAGCTGCACGGCCAATGCTATGACAACAGCGGAGATGCTGAGCTGCGGGTCACAGCCATGCTGGAGCTGGGATCCCCGCTGGAGATGATTCAGCTCCTGCAGACCCCCTGGGAGGAAAGATTTAAAGTAAGAAAACAAAGCAAAGGAGTTTTATCAGTCGCTTTTAGACCACAAACTGGGCAAACCGGCGAAGAGCCGGTGGTGACCGCTGGGACAAACGGGATTCTCCTGCTGACACTCTGTTTGATCCCGCAAATTGTCTGTAAATGGTTTCCTTTTCATTCCTTTAAAATCACATTAACACAGTCCTTGCTTGGTGTATCGCGGTGAGTTTCTTTCTCCGTAGAACGGAGTTAAAAGAACTTCATCTGGGAGGAGATAGACACAAAATCGTACTCGGTGCTGGGGCCGTGGTTAATACCTTCGATTACACGATAACGTTCGTTTTGCCTCTATATTCCCTATACATATTTATGTATATATATATATGCAGAAGGACTTTGGTCAGGATGCCCCTCGGCTACCTGAGTCTGACTTGGTAAAGCCACATCACCACGCTCCGAATCTGTGGTTTGCTCTGTGTTACCTGTTCCAGGCAACAAGCTGAGCAAGCTGACCCTTGCCGTGTGTTTATGTGGTGTTTCTGATTTTGGCCCTTTGGAAATCATAGTGGTGAAATCGCTACTAAATTGCTTTCGTCCTGCTGCAGGTGCTAGGATTGCAGCCCTTCTAGTGAGATCTACCTCATCTCCTCGGCATCCTGCACAGGGACCCATATGCTCCCCAGGAGTATAAATGACTTGTAACATGGCACTTACTTTGGTTATAGCTTGTTTTACAGTTTGCCTCTAGGGCTCAGTTGGGGGCTCAATACTACTTGTTTGGGTGCCAGGAGTCAAAAAAACCCCCATCATGTAGAAAAGCAAGGGTATCTTAGTGTCAGCAAGAAATGCTTTGGGCAAAATAAAAGCCCAACAAAAGTCCTAAAATAAAATTTCTGCCTGCATGTGGTCCTGAAGGGGAGCCTTGCCATCTGAGCCAGAGGGGGAGTGTGGCAACCACTCGCTCAGCTGTGGGATGCAAAGCTGGGGTTCTTATGATTGCTTCCCTAAACAAGTTAAAATAGCATCAGAGCTTCCACAGTCATTTCTCTTGGCTTGGGGAGTTTTCCTTTCTTCAGTTCTGTACTGGCTCTACATAGCTTTCCTAGCACCTCATCTTCTTAAGCGTGCCAGAGTCTCCCATGATGCTGGATTAGCTGGTGGTAAAGTTTGGTGTGGTGGCATTAGAGATTTTAACAACCTCCTGACTGCAGAAGACACTAACTCAGAATTACCCTGGCACTGTCTAATCCTGTTTCCTAATTAGGGTGTCTAAACGTACGGGATTCCCTTGCTATGAGCCACATCAGATACCAGGGATGGTGTGAGCTGTTCCAAGGGAGAAATCCCTCGCGCTGCACAGATCGCTATCGGCAGTGGCGCGGGGTGACGTGGGGCTGCCTGGCACACCCAGCTGAGCATGCACTTTGTCTGATGCCAGGGCTCCTGATACTGAATGGAAACTGCTGCAAAAAGCTGCTTGAGCAAAGTGCTGGTGCAGTATAAATGCACTTCTCTAGCTCTAGTTTCTATAAAAATAATTTACCAAGCTTTCTGCTGGGTCAGGTATTGTCTGGCCTTTCACTGCTGCCAGAAAGTTGTCATAAAAGCAAAAAAGCTGGCAATAAATACATTGCAAGCCTTGACTAATTCTTCAGAAGCATGATTGTGTGCCCAAATTCAAACTGCTGAGGGATGCAGCAAGGCATGAATCTGGTATTAATGACCATGGAGCCTCACTCTGTATTGAGCAGCATGAGGGAAGGGAGGGGAATCTATTAATTTTATGCCAGGCTGGGAAAAACCCTTCTGATTTCAGCTAGCAAATCAATATAGCTCCTGAAACATGAAGACTGCTATTGTTTTCCTCACAGCTTTCTCCTCTAGCTCTTCTAACTGCAAATGTCTCTTTTTGTATACACACATTTTTTAAAAATGTTGCTAAACTACTTACCAGTCAAATCCTGTGGCAATGTTGATAATAAATTTTGTAGCATACATGTAATTACCTTTTAAGTTCTGTGTGCCTTTTTTCTCTTTTAATTTAATTGAATGCCCTCCCCTTTGTTCTACTTCCAATTTAATAGCTGTTTTTCATCTGTTTTTTTCCATGCATATTCATCTTCTCTTTCTCAGATTTGCCTGAGTCTTGTGAAACTGCTGTTTTACTTGGCACATTCCCCCCTGGGTTCAATAGCCCTCTTGGATTTCCAGCCAAGGCAGTTTGTTATGGTGGATGGAAACCTAAAAGTGACAGACATGGATGATGCCAGCACCGAGGAGCTGTCTTGTAAGGAAGATAAAGACTGCACACTCGACTTCCCTACCAAAAGTTTCCCTCTCAAGTGCTCTGTGGCTGGGAAATGTGAAGGAATAAATGAAAAGAAGAATCTGTTCAATGCATATCGGTATGTCCAGCTGCATGGGGGAAGATTTGGGGTGGCTGAGCTCACGCCCTGCCATGCAGCCTCTAGCACCTTGTTCTTCTTCCATGTGGTGATTTCCCTCACCTCTGTCAGAGGGTAGTTAAGAATCACTTTGAAGCAAGTTATTTTCCTTATAAGGCAGGAAAATAGTGCAGTTGTTGTCTGGTGGGAATGAAGGCATCTTTCTTCTGCTGCTCCCTTTCCCCAATGCCCTCTAAAAACTTGCCCCAGAGCTTACACCTGTAAATTTGCTGTTTGCCAAACAAACCCTGGAGCTTGACATCCAGGGGCTGTGCTTGCTGAAGGCAGTGGCAGTGCAGGCTACCTGCCAAACCCCACCAGCTGTGAGTCCCACTGTTGGGAACAGGCTGCCCAGTGCTTCCCTTCATCTCCAAATCTCCCTGTGGGCTCCTATGGGAGAGCAGGGGGCAGGTAAAGGCAAGGAGATGAGGCTGCTGCAGCACTTCCCATGGGCCATCAGCTGAAAACTCAGGGACCTTTGCTCACCACTGATGCTTGGCAGGTCACATCCTGGAGGGAAGCCTTGGCAGCTGGATATTTGCACAGAAGGACTTAGCAAGGGAGCCTAGATTTCCAGTGCTAAAGGGTAAATCCCTGCATAGCTTATTGCAGCCTTGCTGTTGTCCCTGTCTCTTGTGCACTTGTTCCCTAGGACAGGAATTTTTTTGTGTAACAGTCAGTAAATAAGTCATCCTGAATTTTCAGGGGCAATAAGAAGCCCAAACCTTTTCAGGGCAAGAGAAGGATCTTGTATGAGTCTGTGAGTCTTCTTTTATACAGGGTGGGGTTTTTTTTTTTTTTTTTGGTGGGAAATACATTTCTTAGTATACAAAAATGGCCCCGGGGAATGAAGGGAAGCTTTATTGCATGAAGCTTTGCAAGGTAGATTTCATGCAGCAAGGACCAGCAGGCTTTCAGCCCAGCTCACAGGAACCATCTGAGACACCAAGATGTGCTCAAACATAACTTTGTAACCAAAGCAGACTTACTAGTTGCATATGGATAATCAAGTCACGGGAAAATGTAGACAACTTAATCACCGGGGAAATGAAGGCACTGTATTCTAATCAGCCTGTGGGATTTTTTTGCAGGTATTTTTTCACCTATCTTTTGCCACACTCTGCACCACCAGCTTTGCGGCCCCTTTTGAGTGATATTCTGAATGCAACAGGTACCAGCTAATATTCATAAACTTCTTTATTAGAAGTCTCTAAATGGTATTTATTTTGTGGAATTGTTTATCTTTGTCATCTTTTTCCTTAAATGTAGGTGATTTACGATACGGAATAAATGAAACCCTGAGAGCTTTTGAAAAGGTTTTACATCTGTACAAGTCTGGGCTCTATCTCCAGAAAAGACCTCTTCTTTTAAAAGGTAGTTGATTTTGAATGCTCTAAGTAAAGTAACTACTGAGGGAGTGAGGCATTTGGTAACTGGTCAAATTCTGATCTCTCCTACATTTAGGCAGTTTATAGTCACTAGGAAAAGCACCAAAAATGTCTTTTTTTGAGCAGGCTTTTGTGTTGTTTTTTTTTTTTTTTTTTAATCCATGGGAACTATGCATGGTTTTGAAACCCTGTGTTTTGCAAAGTAAAAGCAGTGCATGGACGTGTGTTTGCACTGCTTCTAAATACTCTTCTCATAATGAACATCAGTGTCTCAAGGGAATGTGTTTGGGATTGAGTGGCTCTTTATCCTTTGGGCCAACAGGTCAGTTTTTGGGGCTGATATTCAAACTCCCCATTTGACTGAGTGGCTTCTGTCTGCTGAGCACAGATTATGGAAACTTAGAGTGGGGAGGTGACAGCACCAAGATGAATGTGGCAGGGTACCTGGAGCTCTTGATGCCCTCTAAGTTCCTTTTCTCTGAAGATCTTTCTGTTGGACCTGTGCATGGATAAATGTGCCTTTATGAGGTGCATTCCTCTGAAAAGGACCCATTCAGTGGTAGAGATGAGGCTGATCAAAAGGAAGTTTCAAAAATCCAGTGGTTACTGTGGCTTGTGTTTTCCTGGACATTCACATGAGGTGGTGGGTGACGGTGGCTTGCAGAAGGAAATCTCTTTGCATGTGAAAGAACTATAATTTGCACTGTTATGAGCAAAGATATCTGGTCATTTGCATGGAAGGACCAGCAGCTTTAACAGGAATTACTGGTATTTTCCAACAACACCTGTCTATTGGCTTTGCACTGTGCCAAAATGATCACCATCCGAGAGGTGTGGGAAGGTGGGGAGAGACTCTTAGCAGGCAGTGAACAATAGCCTGAACAACACCTGCTCAGGCTTGTCAGCTCTTTTGTCAGGTCTCTTTGTCAGGAGCAGGATCTGGCCTCCCTTTCCCCCAGTGGGGTTCCTCAATCTCCTGTTTCTGTGGGTGGCACCATGACAGGTGGCTCAGTCTGTGCCCCATGTAGCTTGGTGCTGGATCTGTGACGAGCTTCTGCTGTTGAGGCTGGGGTGTAGGAGAGGCTGTTTGGAGGCTGGCTTCTCCTGGGAAAACATGGAGGGGCTGTGGCTTTGCACAGCAGCCTCCTCCTCTCACCCGCCCCTGCGGTGGCACCCCTGTCCCTTCGCCCCTGAGACCTCTGACCCCTCTCCTACATCTCTGGGGGAGTTGCTGTCCTGTGCTCCACTGCAGAATCAAAAAGCAAGATTTGGGTTTCTTTTAGCTTTGCAGCTCCACCTCACTCCACCTTGGCAGGTCAGTTCAGTCTGTCAGCGTTGCAATTCTTCTGAGTTTCCCTGATTGGGTAGTGCAGCCAGTCTCTGGAATGCACCTGGAGTGTCTCCCCAGACTCCCTCTTTCTGTCCCCAGACTACGTCTCCCTGAAGGGTTTCCGGACGGTGGAAGGGGAAGGCCACAAGTGCTGGCCCTCCTACAGCCACCTGGGCTGCCTGCTGTCCATCCACAGCGCCGAGGAGGCCGCTGCCATCTGTAACTCCCAGCTGCACTGTCACAGCTTCATTGTCACCCAGCACAGGACCTGGACAGGTGAGCTTGGCCAGGGTGGCAGGGTGCCGCAGCTCACTGCAGCCCTGAGATATGTGAAAAGTCTCTGCTTCGGCCCGTGTGTTCCAAGAATGAGTCGGAGCTGTTCAGTTTTCAGTCTCAGAGTTGTTTATTGTATCTTATCTATAAAAGTTTTCCTCCTGCCCCACTGAGGTCAGCTCAGCAGGACAGCCAGCAGCACTCTGACCGCCCCCAAGGCAGTGTTGTCTCTATACTACAAACTACATATAACATGTTTACAATCACTTTCCAATACCTATCGCCTGTGTTAGACAGCAAGATTCTATTCTAAACCAATCCCAAAGTACCAGCATCACAGCAGAAGATGAAGGTAGAGAAGAAGAAGAAGAAAGGCTAGACACACCCAAGTCCTTCCATCTTGTTCCCAAGACCCCCACTCTAAAAATCCCAAAATCTACCTTTTCACCCAGTGATAACTTTGTTATTAAACTTCTGTGGCTTTCAGGTCTTCATACAAAGCTGGCAATTTGCTCCACGGGTCCTAATCAAACCCACAGGTGTTCTGGGCTGTGTGCCAGGGTCTCTGAGCCCCTGTCAGGGGTCCTGGCAGCTCTGGACACCCAGAGGGATGTCCTGAGTCCCGACAAGCAGGGTGACAGGGTGCTGCCACGTGGTGCTGCTGCCTTCCTCCATGGTGCCTTGAGCCTAAGGCACATCTGAAAGCTGCCTTCCTTATCCTCAAGCTCAGATGGCTGCCACTGTGGGCATCCAGAAATCCCCTGAGTGTTTGTAGGGAGACACCAGAGCAATTATGTTCTCCCTCTGCACCTTTTTTCCTCTACAAATCTTGCTCAGGACTGCCAGGTATTGTTAAACACTCATTTCTTGTAGAGGTAGCTTCACTTTGGTGTTAGGCTAAACAATCCCTGTGGTATGTATAGTTTGCAGAGCTGTGGGGATTTCAGAGATGAAAGGAGCTGTGTAAAAGAAGGTGGTTACTATTGTTATAATTAAAAGAATCATAGCTTACAAGTTGTTATCCCCTCTATCAAAACTAAAGCCCCAAGCCAAGGGATTTCCAGAATGTCCCTGTAATTAGCTCTGATTATAGCCTCTTACAGTTAGCATGTTTTCAGAATTATTTTAAATTATCCCATTTAGCTGACACTTCAAGCGTGGGCTAAATTGTTTCTTGAAGTAAAACACTAAATGAGGTAAATGAGTGTTTTCACTCACAAAGATGCTGAAGGATCATGTTTTGTCAGTTCACATGACATTTAAAAAAAACCCCCTAAACTACCAAAAATGCAGCTTTTCTGAGGGCTTGTGTGCAATTGGCATGTGGCAAACTAGTTACATAGGAGCATTTACATGGGTGCAACATAAATCTCTTTGAGCCACCAAGTTTGACACCAGCAATGGATTGTGTGAGTTGTGCCTAACACGGCACATGTGGCTTCCTCACAGGGCAGCTGTTAGTGCTCTGTGCAGTGCCTGCCTGGAAGGAATCCTGCTTGAAACCACAGTGAGGATGCAGGAGAAGCACTGGGACAGGGACCCTTTCTGCAGTGCCTTATTAGGGTCCTGCACCATGCCTGAGGTCTTTAGTGCTTCCCTTCCTGGCATTTTTCTTCCTTGCAGTTTCATGGCTCATCTTTGCAGCCCAGGATGCCAGAACTGTGTGGCTGAAATGCCAAGTGCTTGAGTTTGCCAGCTGGATTGATGAGAGCTGTGGGAATGTGCTGGTCTCTCCTAAGGCTGCTTGGTAAAGCAAAGCAAGATGCAAAAGCCCCTGGGGTTGGACGATGCATTCCTTGTGCACACTCTGAGCATCTGGAATTTACTGGGAGTGTAAAACACATCTATGGCAGGGCAGAGTGACCCTCCATTGAGCAAGCAATGTGTTCCTGTGCCTTCTGCAATAAATAGCATGGGTCAAGGTGAACCTCTCCCTTCTATTAAACTTGTATTTTTATTTCCTTTCCAGGACGCCCGCTCGCCTCCTTTCAGAGTAGCTGGACTGATTTAGTACCGGATACCAACGCCGTGGTCTATATTAAACGTTCAGCTTCCTCAGGGGAAAGACTTTAAAGACAATGAGATCACATAAAATGATCCTGGGAGGAACAAACTGCTGGGGAGAATTTCATCTGCTGGAAAGAATGACATGTTTTATTTTGCTTTGGGATGGGATCTCCCTGCCAGCTCAGATAGAGTCAAATGCTGCTGTCTCCTTGATCAAAGCTCAAATTTCTCATTGCTGCTCCACTAGCTTCTTTTCTGTTCCCACACTGCTGTTCCACATAAATGGTCTCAGTTTTAGTCAGATGTTGCTAAACTGTGCAATACTTAGCTTTGCTGCTTTGGCCAGCTTGTCAGCCAAGAAATAGAAATAGCTGCAAGGGATCCAGCTTGGGTAGGCTTAGTAATTTCAGTCACCTCCAAAAATCTACAGATGATGCACTTTGGAGAAGGCAACAGCTCTTTCTGCAGCTGCAAACTGGGTTTTCTTACTACTGCAAATGTAAATTTCAGTGATGATGCCAAGGTTGCAGGGTTGGGATCCATAACCAGAGGTTGATGATGGGGGTGGTCCTCCAAGGAGGGTCCTGATTCAGTTCCTTCCATGCAAGGGAGGGAAGTGGTGTACAGGTCAACACTGGACCCAAATATCTGTATGTTTGGATGCAGGATTTGGGGTTGATCCTATGTGATTTCTAATGCCAGCTCCCATGTATCAACCTTGAAGGTTTTTCTCTGTTACTTTCCATGAAAGAGCAAGACATTCAAATTATTTATATGTAAGGTGTGACTTTGTATGATAAAGAATGACTCTTTATTCTAAGCATGCTGTGAGAAGTTTGGGTTTTTTTTCCTTTAATTGCCTAAGTCTTTACTGTAACCAAATGAAGAAATACCAGTGTTTCCTACCTTCAGCTCACCTAGCATTTTACCCACTCCTGAGGGCAGCCTGTGAGTGCTCCAAGCAGTGTATGAATGTTCCTGAGCCCCCTTGGACACTCAGGTCCTGAAGGACACTGTGGCTGTACTTGCAGGCTTCTGAGCACAGAGGAGACTGTGTGGTCCCAAGAGCCTCCTGCAACTGCCCTAAAACTGTAGATGTGGCCTCTGAAAAATAGCTGGGGTTAGTATCATTTCAGACTGAAAGAGATGACAGTGCAATGTGCAACTTCTGGGAGTCCCTGGAAGCAGTGACTCCAGGACCTCTTCTGGAGGAAAAGCCTAAATCGGCACTGACCTCATGTATCCTAGGGAAGGTCCCTGGCTTTGTGCACAGGAGCCGCACTACAACAAACAGTGTGATGCCACATTGTTTTCTGCTTGTCCCACACCGGAAATTACAACTTTTGGGACATGGCAGGAGTCGTGTAGCCATTTCCATGTGGGACCTTGTGGCAGAGGGGCTCCCCTGGACTGAAAATGCTGCCGCTCTTGCCTGGAGTCGTGCTGTGTTTTTGATGGTCTCTCCCCACGTTTCCTAGTGCAGGAGCCCATCCTAATGCAGGAGCCCATCTTTCAGCTCGTTAGGACTCGATTAACCACAGCAATGCCTTTGCATGCGTCTTTCTAATGCACTGAACCCCTGCTGCTTGCTCTGGGGCTGGGGGACTCATAGCGATATCAATTAATGAGGATTCCTAGTTAGCACAGCAAGAAGGGTCTTGTGATGACATTGCTGCAGGCTTTGTGACAGCAAGGCTTTTTCAATGGGCAGGGACAGACCCCTCTCTCCATTCCAGCTCCTGTGGAAGTTGAAGGGAAGGTCCTGCCAGGGGGCTGCTATTGTTTGACACCGACCCAGTGAGCAGGGCTTCAGATACCTGCTGTGCTCTACATTAGCAAGAGGTAAAGAGGGTTTATTCCATATCTCCCAGCCTCCTGAGATACCCAGCAGGAGTACTTCCCCCAAAGCAGGGCCATGCAAGGGCCAACCTGGGGTCGTTTCACAGTGGAAGAAACAAAATGCAAAAGTTGAAGTAGTTGCAGTTCATGTTAGAAAGACCTTCCCATCTTAAAAATTTCTCCTGGTAAAAAGAACATTGTGTATTTTAGTCTTGTGATGCTTCTTTGGCAGGTTTTTCTGTCAAGTACTCATTGTAAGGTTGCTGCCAGTCATGTGCAGCCTCTCAGAAGCAGATGGTGAAGTTGCAGGGAATGCCAGTGTCACTGTATAAATGCAGCTTCCAGCATCAGACCTGCAGTTAGCCCTGGCACCAGAGACCACTGATCATGTCCTGAAAGTTTTGAACACACTGTAATTAACAAACAATAATAATAAGAAGAACATAATGAAAAAGGGAAGACAGGCTTTAAAGAATTACAGTGCTCGATCTGCTGTTGCCATAGGAAGTGGCTTTTGTAGGACATTTAGACCACCCCATACAAAGGAGTAAGCACATTCTTACAGCATGAACCCTCATTCATCTGGCTGGCACAGAGAAGTAGCCAAGGCACAAGCACACCTTTATGACCAACGCTGTTCATGTGCTAGACACTAAGAAATTGCCACATCTAGAGCTGTAGTTTGACATGCATTTGAGGAGACACAGTCATTGGGAAAAGCAATTTCCACTCTGCTTTTTCCCAGCTGCTTGCTGTTATTGTCTGCTGAGAAACTTTTACCAATGGTTGTGCCAGTTTAAAAGCATGTAGGATTATCTCTTTGCTATTCTGCAGCTAGCAGCTTGTGACCCCCAAGTTTCAGGCAGCTCACACCTGGCTCAGGTGCTGGGTCTGTGTGAAGCACCCAAGCTGTTCCCAGCCCTAAGGGGAGCCTACAGGAGGAAGCATCCTCTACACAGCTTTTGGGTCCATGTGGCTGGTTTGTAGTGCACTGTCTTTATGCCCCATCTCACTCAGTCAGCCTTTATTCATTCTATCCTTTTACTAAATTATAACTCAAACAACTTTAGACTTTCAATGCCACTGAAAATTTTCAGTGCATGCCTAAAAACTGTATTTCAGTAACTACAGTGCATAAAACCTCAGATATAAACATTTACTGCCCTTAAAACTCCCAGTTGCTGGAGTCAATTTGATCAGTATTTCAGTCACCATTGTGGAATTATGCAACAGAGGAAAGTGCTTGGAAGGAAACAGCAGGGGATCAATTGCAATGGAAACCATGTGTGCTGGAGGAATGATATTTACCTAAATGTGTCTATCACATCTTCCCAAAGGATGCTGCCTTAAGGAGAGAATGGGTATGAAAATGTTGCCTCCATAGGTATTTTTTTTAGACAAAAACTTTAATACTCTTAATTAATTCTGTATTGTAATAACAGATGTTGCATTACTCATGTTCAGCATGTTTGCACAGACATTTACATGACCACTGACTGCATGACAGATTGAAAAGCAGAGTGAGGGACACAGAGCCCAGTAATGAAAAATCAACTCTTGGTGCATCAGATAGGGTTCAAGTACCAATGAGTGTCATAACTCTATTTTGACATGGCATATTCTGCAAACTTTGATGCTCTAAACAGCACTAAGATGAAATTTCAAATTAATTTGGGGAAAGAAAAGAGGAATCTATCACAGTCAGCTGGAGGCCCAAATGACACATCTGGATTAACACTGATTTCTGTGAGGACATCTATAAATTGTTGTACCAACCACTGAACTTTGTGGCAGGAAGTCAGAGCACTTGGTTCTTCTGGGTCAAAAGATCTGGGCTTGGGCTCCACTTTGAGGAATCAGTGAAGTGTAACTCCAGTATCCAGAATGGCCCCCCATGATGGATTGGTAGGACTTCAGAGTGGACAATTCCTGCTAACTGTAGTACTTGGAGCAATCTTTGCCCTTGGTCCCATTGTCTCAGTGTACCAGCATGTCACCACCAGCAATGTGGAGATGGGAAAATTCACAGAAGAGAATTTTATGAGAGGTAATCATGAGCCCCTCTGCCTCCTCTGCAGCATCTGCTTAGTTCAGGATGGTGGATTTTCCCTGAATTATAGTTCTTGGCTAATGGGAAAATGTATCAGGTTCCATCAAACAGGTCTGGGGGTACCAAAGGATGAGTGATAGCTGAAGGGAGCAGTTGACAGACTCCTCTGCTTGGAATTCAGCTCCTGGCTCTGTGTGAGATCTCCAGGCAAGGGCTTGTGCCTCCAGAGCCTCAGCCTGCCCAGCTGGCCAACCCAGATGGCAAAAGTTCTGGGGTTACTGGTGGAGAAGTCTTCTTGGCATAGCTGTGGAGGAGATGCAGATGCTGGTAGTGTTTTAAGAAATTCATGTGCTTGGACTTTGTGGGCACAGAATGACATCCCTTCAGTGCCCCCACTGCCACAACAGCCTTATCCTCACTGCTCCCAGGGACCACAAGCACTACTCTCCCCCAAGCCCACATCTGCACCTAAAGCCTGCACACTCAAGTCTCTCTGTCCTGTCATCACTCACACCCCTGCTCCCCCTGTGCCATCCCAGCACACCTTCTGGTTAACCCCTTGTGCACCCACACCCTCAACATCCCCACGTGGCCCCACTGCCTCTTACAGCCAACACATGGAAGGAATCACAGAATCAGAGAATCACTGAGGCAGGGAAAGACCTCTAAGGTCATCTTGAGTCCAGCTATTAACCCAGCACTGACAAGTCCACTAAACCATGTTCCTAAATGTCACATGTGTTTTAACACTTTCAGGGACAGTGATTCCACCACTTCCCTAAGGAAGTAGTACCATATAGGACTTATTTCTATTTTGAGAGCCCTTATTTCCCTATTATTCTATTTGGGAGCCCTTAATTCTATTCTGTCAGAGGTGGAATAGCCCTGTGTGCAGCAGGAGGCCACATCTGAAAGGTGCAACCACAAGATCAGCCTGCCTTTGATTTGTAACCTTTCTTTTCATTTACCATGGATGGTTTCTGGATTAGCAAGTGCTAAATACAATGTAGTAATGGCTTCCTGAAAAACAACCAACTTTAAAGCTGTCCATTAAAATCACATTGCCTTAACTACATTGTATGTCACATGGTGCATCACACCTTCCAAATCCAAGTCTAGACAAGGCTTAGGGAAATGCAAATTCTGACATTATGTTACATTTGTCAGTATTTATTCTCCAACCTCATCAAAATCAATAGGAGTCTCAAGTGGACTTTTTGGCTAAAATCTGTTGCCATACTTAGAGTACTGGAAATGTAAGATATAGTCTCAAAATTAAGTTAAAGACCAGCAACCCCCCAAAATTACAAAACAAACACCCAAATTTTCAGATTCTTGTATCTGTGACTTACATCTCCCACATAACGTCTTTAGCAAGTGAATTGTTTTTCTTTGCTGGGAAAAACCCTGCTGCAAATTCCCTCACTACTTCAGATGACAGATCAGAGAGCTCAGGTTTAGATTAAAAACTTGATAATGAAACTTAAGGACACAAGTTTATCATCACAACAGATAGATGGAGAGGTGCTTTATGAATGTCTTGGAAACACTGGAGCACAAATGAAATTCTCTTGGACCTCCTGTGGAAATGTCAAGAAATATTTTGGCACTGCTGCTGTGCCCAGTCCAGTGCTGTTCCTCATTCACTTGGGGAGGGAGTCATTTACTCCCACTCCTAATTAATCTTGCCCTTGTTTGTTTGTTCTGATTCTTTAAATACACAAGAAACAAACCATTGTCCCTCCCAGTGGAGTTAAGGCCGTGGTTTGCATTTTTCTGGGCTTGACTCTCAGTTTGTCTAGCAAAACTACTGTTACATAACTATATCAATTAACATTACCTCTGCAACGAAGCAGGGGCACTCACCTAAATTTACTTGAACCCCAGAGTTGTGTCAAACCTCAAAGTTTTACTGGCACTGCTAAAGAGCA